TTTGTTCTTTTTTTACTTCTTCAGTTGTAAAGTTAGGTTGACTCATGATCTTCTTCAACATGTTTACAGCTATAAATTATCCTCTTAGCACTGCTTTTGCTGCATCTCATAAGTTTTGGTATATTATGTCATCGCTTTTATTTGTCTCTATTTTTTAGTTTCCCTTGTGATTTCTTTTTTGATACATTGGTTATTTGTATGTTTTATTTTCATAAATTTAAATTTTCCAGTTTTCATGTTATTAGTTCCTAACTTTATCCTATTGTGTTTAGAGAAGATACTTTGTATGATATCTATCTCTTAATCTATTGAGACTTAATTTGTGACATAACATATATGGTCTCTCCTAGGAAATGTCCCATGAGCACTTGAGAAGAATGTGTATCCTGTTGTTGGGTAGCGTGTTCTGTGTGTGTCTGTTAGAACTGCAGTTGACCCTTGAACAACATAGGGGTTTGGGGCACTGACAATCCCCCATGCAGTCAAAAATTCATATGTAACTTTTGACTCCCCAAAAACTTAATTACTAAATCTCTCAGTATCTGCAAAAACAAAAAGTGGAATTACAAATCACTGTTACAGTAATAATAGCTTTGATAATGTGTATGCCCATGTATTTGCCTTTACTGAGATCTTTATTTCTTCATACAGCTTCACGTTACTTTCTAGTATCCTTTCATTTCAACCTGCAGGACTCTCTTTAGTATTTCTTGCAAGGCAGGTTTAGTGGTAAGAAACTTCATCTTTTATTAATGTAGGAATGTCTTAAGTTCTCCCTCACTTCCCCCTCCCCAGTTTTATTAAGATATAATTAGTATATAGCATTGTGTTAAAGTATATGAAATAATGATTTGATATATTTATATATTGCAAAATGATTACCGTAATAAGTTTAGTTGACATGTCACCTGTTATAGTTAAAACATTTTTTTTTTTGTGATGAGAACTTTTAAGATCTAATCTTAGCAACTTCAAATATACAATACAGTATTAACTGTAGTCACCAAGCTATACATTATATCCCCAGAGCTTATTTATTTTATAACTAGAAGTTTGTACTTTTTGACCACCATTTCCCTCACTCACCACCCCTGGCAATCACCAATCTGTTCTCAGTTTCTATGAGTTTGGTTTTTTTATATTCTGCATATGAGTGACATCATACACTATGTTTCTTTCTCTTTTTTCACTTAGCATAATGTCTTCAGGGTCCATCCACGTTGTTGCAAGTGGCAAGGTTTCCTTTTTAATCTCTTTAAAAAAAAAAAAAAAGACATTTTTGCCATTTAGTTGACGGGTTTTTTATTTTCACTTTGTAAATATCATCCTACTTAACTCCCAGCCTCCAAAATTTCTGATGAGAAATATGCTGATAATCTTATTGGGGAATCCCTTCTATATGATGAGTTGCTCCTTTCTTGCTGCTTTAAGGATTCTCTCTTTGTCTTTCAACAGTTTGATTACAATGTGTCTGGTAGTAAACACTTTGTATTCATCCTTAGTTTGTTGATCTTCTTGAATGTTTATATTCATGTCTTTCCTCAAGTTTGGGAAGTTATTGGTTATTATGTCTTTAAATCTCTCTTCCTCTTTTTCTGTTTTCCTTCTGGGACTCCTACAATGCATATATTGGTCCCTTTGAATCTCCTGGAAGTTGCTTTTGCTGGAGGGGGAGGGGTTTGTAACAATGTTAGTGAGGGTTGCAACAATGGCTGCCTGCCTTCGTGTCTACACAACCATGATTGGAAGCAATTGGCCATCAATACATAGATCCCCAGTACTTGGGGGACAGGGTTCTTATTGCTTATCCTGCTCACACAAGCTATGTTTATGCCACACCAGGAACATCTGCACAGCTTCCTGCTGGGGTGGGTACTAAGAGCTGAAATGGGCTGAAATTAACCACAATTTTCCATCAAAGTCTTACCTTGGTTGTTGCAAGCCTTTAATAGACTCCAGAGTTCCAAAAAAGTTACATCAGGCAGATTGTGCCACTGTAATTTATGTCTATGTGAGATTTATTCCTAGTATTTCCTCCTCTGCCATCTTCTATACATATTGTATTTTACAGTTGTTTTTAACATCAGTTCAAAGAAGCAATATGCATATGTGTTATTTATATAATTACCTTCATCAGTGCTTTTTGTATTTCCATGTAAATTCAAATTATTGCCTTGGATCTCTTGCTTTCAGCCTGATGAATTTCCTTTAGTAATTCTTTTCAGGAGGGTCTACTAGCCACACATTGTTTTTGTTTATCTGGGAATGTATTTTGCCTTGATTTTTGCAAGATAGCTTTACTGGCTATGCGATTCTTGGTTGACAGTTTTTTCTCTGAGCATTTTGAATGTTACCCCACTGCCTTCTGGCCTCCATTGTTTATGATAAGTCAGCTGTTAATGTTATTTGGGTTCCCGTGTATGTAGTGAGTTATTTTTCCCTTGCTGCTTTCAAGATTTTCTCCTTGTCTTTGGCATTTTACACTTCTACTTTAATGTGTCTCTGTGTAGATCTCTTTGAGCTGATCCTCCTCAGAGTTCATTGAGCTTCCTGGATGTTTAGTGCTTTTTCAATAAATTTGGGAGGTTTTTAGCCATTATTTCTTTAAATATTTTTCTACTGCTTTCTCTCTTTTCCCACTGGTACTCCCATTACATGTATTGGTGTGCTTAAATGGTGTCCCACATTCTCTGAGGCTCTGTTAATTTTCTTTTTCTTTTCTCTCTGTTCTTTGGATTATATAATCTCTATTGACTTCTTTTGCCAGTTCAGATATACTGTTGAGCTTCTCTGGTGAATCTTTTATTTGTTATTGCACTTTTTAAGTCCAGAATTTCCATTTGGTTCTTTTTATAATTTCTTTCTCTTTATCAGTATTCTCTGATATGACATTATCATCATTACCTTCCTTTACTTCTGTAATCATAGTTTTCTTTAATTCTGTGAACATATTTATAATGCTACTTTGATGTCTTTGTTAAATCCAGCATCTGGTTGTTCTCACAGGCAGTTTCTCTTTGCTTTTTTTCCTCAGTGTGTCATATTATCCTGCTTCTTTGCATGTCTCATGATTTTTTATTAAGAAACTAGACATTTTAGATAATATATTGTTACAATTCTGGCTACTGGCCTCCCTGGGGTGGGGGATGGTGGTGGTTATTATTTGTTTAGTGATTGGCTGGATTATTTTAGTGAAGTTTATTTTATCCCTTTCCCCTTTCTTTACAATGTAAAGCTTCTGATGTTGCACCTCAGTGGGTGCAGCTTTGGGCATGTCTGCAGCTACCTTGGAATCATAGTGGGTTTTGGAGAGCTCTCTTGACTCTCCCTTTCCCTGACCTCACCCAGCTGTTAAGGTTTTTTAGTTGCCAGCTGATTGCTTTGCTGTTTTCAGCAATGTCCAGTGGGCATACATTGTTCCACAGACTGATCCATCAAATTTGGGCTCCTTTGAAGGGATAGTTCTCAAAGTCAGTGTCTGAGATTTGTTCTGACCGCAGGGAGGCTCCTCCTAGCTTTTCTTTCCAACAAAGTGGCCAGCAATTTAGCTTATATATTCAGTGAATCTACCAGTTGCCTTTCACTACTACCTCCTTTTTTTTTTTTTGAGAGTAGCCCGAGGCTTGAATTTTTCCATGGTCTGTTCCAAATGCAGTCAGTTCATCTAGGAAAAGATTTGGTGCTGTTTTATGTCTTGCTTCTCCCAGGCAGAATCTCTGAGCAAAGCTTTGGAGCTGGGAATGAGGACAATAGCATGTTTCTGAGCAATACCCCCACTTTAAAAACTCAGTGGAGGTGAGGGGACTGTAGCCTTTGTCTTCTCTGCAAGCTTCACCCAGCATGGAATCTTTACTTTTTGGTCTGGGGCAAAGGTGGATTGGGACCCCAATATTTTCAGTGGCCCTACAAGTCCAAGCTGGGCATAAGAAGGGAGCTTCCACCTCTTGGCTGCACTCTTCCTAAACTTATCCTCAGCTACAGGTATTGGAGGGCAGGATGAAATATTCCGATATCCTGCCACTCCCAGGAAGATAGCTTTCAGACTAGAAACTGGGGGAAAGGGAGCCTTGTTTTGTTGACTTCACCAATCTGATGCAATTATTGTCTCAGCTGAGGAGTGGGAAGGGAGGCAGTTGATTTTAGTTCACATACCACAGAATCTCATTGTTCTTAAGTTTTAGATTTTCTTGAAAAACAAGTCTTTATTTTCCGTATGCCCTTAGGACCTTCCAGAGACTTTAAATGGTTGATTTTAAAAATAATTTTCCCATTTCACTGAGGAGGGGGCTGCAGAGCTCTTCATGCTGTCATGCCAGATGTGAAACCAATTTGGATTACATTTTATATTTAGTTGCTTTCTCTTCTTAAATCTGGAACAGTTACTCAGTCTTTGTTTTTCATCACCTTGACATTTTTGAAGAGTATCGGCCATATGATTTATAAAATGCTTCTCAGTTTGGATTTGTCTGACCTCATGAATAGATTCAAATTATACATTTTTGGCAAGAATACCACAGAAGTGATGTTGTGTCCTTTTCAGTGCATTGTTATCAGGAGGTGCATGACTCTGTTTAACACATTATTAGGTGTTAATTTCAAGCATTTCTTTCAACAAACATTGTGTCATACTGTAAATTTTTTGATTTCTAGTCAGTGAATTTTCTGTATGTTAATTGGTCATTTGTATTATTTTATAAATGTCTTTAATGAATTATCTGGGATTTTGTTTTATCAATTCTAATATTCTAATATTCTGTTGATTCTAATAACTCTTTAATATATTAATGGTATTAATTTTTGGCATGTATGTTGAAAATATTTCCCTAGTTTGCTCTTTAAGATTTTATTTTTTTGATATCTTAAAATTCAACTTTATGTAAACAAACAGCATTTTTCCATATGGTTTCCACATGGACTTTGGTATCATGCTTAGAAAAGCCCTTCTAAGTTCACAGAAATATTTTTCCTATTGCATATTAATTTTTTTGTTTCCCAAATAGGTACGTTTACAGGAGCACATGGGTGAAAAATATACTACTTACAGTGTGAAAGCTCGCCAGTTGAAATTTTTTGAAGAAAATGTGAATTTTTGAGAATTAATTCTGATCTGCTGCCAGAATTAAAAGACCTACATTCAAAGGTTTTTGGCATACACAGAAACAAACCTATAATCATGGCTGGAGGCCATTCACTGTCCTTCTCTTTGGGGTTTTTTTACTGGAAAAAAAAAAGAACAGAGTAAAAGCGAGCTCACAGAAGAAAGAAAAAAAAAACATTGTCTAGCTTACTCTCTTTATGAGGAAAAATCTAAGACTTTGGTTACTGTTTACTGAGCCTTAAATCACCAACTTTATACTTAGAACTTTTTTTAAGGTACTAATTAGCTTGAATACAGGACCATATAATATTGGAAATTTTATATTATCTTATAGTGATAAAAGCAATAGAAATAAATGACATAGTATGTCTAGTGATACTACTTGTCATTGTTAATTACCTTATGTAGTAGTTGATCAGTCATTTTTTTAAAAAGCCAATTTACAATTCTGGGATTAGACAAAGAATATGAAGCTGTATCTAATACCTGAGCAACTGAATTCCTTCTTTACATATTTATAGTCTTTTAACATTTTATTTTCATGTAATATGCACTTTGTTTAGGGTATACAAGAATTGAAACTAAGAGATATTTTGGTTCTGTAAATCAATGTTTTTACATGCTGGTGTTTTTAGATTTATTTTTCCATTAGTGAAAACATTTCTTAAACACTAATTCCTTTTCCAGTTGAGCAATTTATAAGTAGAGTCCAGCTCCTTTTAGTTACGGACATATTTGTCTCTTGAAGTTTGGCTTCTTATACATCAAGATATTGTCTTCCCATGTTTTAAATGTATGCTTGTATATCACATATTTTATTAATTGTTTAATAAGGGGTAATGCCCACCTAGGAAAGTTTTTATAAAAGTCTTGATTACTAAAGTTTCACTTCTGAATTCAAGGGACTCTACAAATAAATTCTGCTCCAGAAATGTTTTTAGTTTTTATAATTAAAAATGTATCTTACCCTTTTTTGAAAATACACATCATACTCTGTTTGCTTTCCAGTCACTTAACAGACCTTTTATTTTTTTTTACTGTGCGCCACGTACTGTGCCAGGAGCTAGAGATATAGTGGTGAATAAAACAATACTCCCTGCTCTTATAATGCTCATGGCCTGGTTTCTGAGACCTCTTCTGTTTACATTGAAGGGTTTGTTAGAACTCAACTATAAAATTATAAAGTCCCAATGCCCACTTGGGGAAAAATCTTTGGCAAACTGTTTGTCTTCATGAGCTATTCACCATTTCTTGCATGTTTCAGAAGTCTGTATCTTTTTGGACAGTCATTGATTTAACTTTTCTTATTGGTATGAAGTTGTATATATTATTTTCTTAGAATAAAAAAAATCTCTCCTATACTTTATTATTCCTGTTTTGTGTATTTTTATTCTGTTTAAACATTGTTTTCATACTACTTTTATTTTTTTTTCTTGAATGCTTAATCACTTTTCATCTTATTTAATTATAAAACACATTTTTAAGACTGAATTTTCTTCTCACTATACTGTGGCCACATTTCAGACTATGATATTCTTTTAGACATCAGTTTCTAAGTAGTAATTCTGGTTTTGATTTTCTTTTTTAGAAGTGTTTCTTAATTTCTATATATTTAGAAAGCCAAGGAAATAATCTTCTTGCTGCAGCTACATTGCAATGTTGGTACTATGACCTGTATAACCTGTTTCTTAGAATTGTTTTTCCATGTGATTCAGTACACAGTTCATTACTGGAATGGTCAATAATATGGGCATTCAATAAAATTGAATTGTTATGCACATAACAGTATCATTTGTCAATTAAATATTATTCAAGTCTATAGAAGACCTGATCAATAGAATTTTGTGATGTAAATGTTCTTTATCTGCACTGTCTGATATGGAAGCCACTAGTCTAGTTCTGAGAACTCAAATTTTTAATTAATTGTAAATAAATGTTGACTAGTGGCACCATATTGCACAGTGCAGCTCTCATTAATATTTACTGAACACCTATTATGTGTCATATCATATACTCTTGTAGGTACTGGGCAAAGAGCAGTGAGCAAAACATGTTCCCATGGAGCTTACATTCTACAGAAGACAATTAACAAATATCCACTGTGAGATATACTAAATGTCATGAAAAATAAAGTAGGCTAAGTGGATATAGAATGAGGAGCATACCCTTTTATTTTGATAGGGTAATAGGAAATGCTTCCTATAGTTACATCTGGGTAGAAACCTGAATGAAAGGAGTGAACAAGTCATGTATATCTAATGGAAGATGTTCCAACTACAGAGAACAACTACAAAAGTCTATCGGTCACCTGTCCTTTTGATCTATCAAAATCAGAAAGGCACAGTGTTGGTCCCCTACCAAGAATGTAGCCTCTTATTGGTAATATTCTTTATGTATTTCATGTCTTATTCAATGCCCAATTCACCACAGTAATATCTTGGTATATTACTGTGGTATATCTTATTGGTAATATTCTTTATGTATTTCATGTCTTATTCAATGCCCAATTCACCACAGTAATATCTTGGCAGTTTATATGTCCCTCTTTTGCCCCCATTTAATGCTTTGATATCAAGTATCTGACTCTTTCACTATTACCCATCCTTTCTGCCTGTACCTGCCTAGTTATCCTTGTCTTATTTTTGACCTTTGGGTATCATTTTTAGAAAATGAGGTAACTTGATTTTAACCCTATCTGGGGGCTCCTCCCTTTTAAATCCCAATTAATTATATTTACTGATACATTTAGTCTTATTTCTACCTTCTTAATTTTCCTTATTTTTTAAAAATCTCTCCTGACTTTTGCTGTATTAAGGTCTTTGCTCCGCTTTTTTAGATTCATAGTTAAGTCCTATATCCCGGTATTGAGAAATAGAATATTATCTCTAATAACCCTTCTACTTCCATCCCTCACACAAGACCTTTAGAATATTTTCTCTTCGGCTCTCTGGAAAATTTAAAAGGAATTTATAGCTTCATAGGTTTTCACTTTGGTCCACCTCAGGTAAAGCATAATTAAATGTTTTCTGCTTAACAACAGCCTAATTTTTGGAGTACTAAATATTACTTTATCACAAATTTACATTAGTAAATTTTTTCATTAGGTGCTTGCTGTTAAGAAATATATTAGGAACTTGAAGCTACAGAAAATAGAAATGGTACTGACATTTTCAGAACCATGAACATCTAACATTGGCTTTTATTAGTCTTGCAGAACAATGAACAAAAGACTCTAGCCACAGACTTGCACTGAGTTTTAATTAGAAATATTATAACAGTTTAACTAATAATGAATTCTAAAACTTTGATAAATTGTACTATCATTTCTGAGGCATATATTCATTATTTTTGTAACCTGAAAGAAACTTTGCATACTTGTATTTTCTGTTCTCCATTTCAGAAGATTATGAAGAGATCTAAAATACATATAAATGAAAGCCCAACTGAGTTAGAAGTGACAAACTGAAAACGAAATCTATACACAGCTGTACCGTAAGAGCATAGGTGGTTTTTAGCTTGTGTTTTGGGTGTGAAAATTGAGCTCATCTCACACGACACAAAAGCAGGTGCAACAGTAAAGCTGAATCATGAAAACGCCAATCAATTATTTTTAGCATGCCTCTTAAGTTTTCTTTCCCCTGGTTTCTTGTCTTCTGTGCCTGAGTCTTGAACAGGTAACCACTTGAGGGGGTGCCGCCGATAAATGGGCCATGGAGGAAGTGTCAGCTAGGCCAGAAAACAAAATATATCAATTACAGCCATGAAAAAGCATATGTATAATGCCTGGTTCCCAAATGACTCTTAAAGATCAAAACACAACTGACACTCCCTATGAAAACTCTGTGCCACCCTTTTCCCTACCATCCCGAGAAGATACTTTAAATGATGGGAACAAGCCTCACTGTTTACACAAAGGGCTTTAAAAGCTAAAAGGTGAGGAGGGAGCAACGTGAAGACCTAATAAATTCCTGCTATTTTTGACCTTTAGATCAATGCTTAGAGCAGCTGCCAAAATAAATGAGCTGTATGTATTCTTTTATGCAGCTTACATCCATTTTCTGACACTATTTGACATTCTACTATTCCATCGATAACAAGGGGAAACGTTGATGGGAAAGGATAAGGGATAAGTTGGTGCCGGTTCTCACTAAGAGGTCCGCCCAAACCAACCCGATTCAGAAAACCCAAGATGCCACTATCATCCAAACACCCACGAATTTCTTACCAAACACGAAAAAGCAAATCCGGCCATAACTATATAGACAGTCCACCCGAACTGTTCAGCTACGTACCCGTAGATAAATCCAACTATCTAGAGACAAAGTATATTAAACGGAGTCAGACCAGGTGGAAAATTTTTGAAAGAAAAGATTATGCAAAACCAATACTTACTGCTGAAAAAAGAATAATTCCCTGAAACATCTGTTCAGCTAGCTTCTGGCCCTTGTAATCCTAGAGGTGAAGGAGAGCAAAGCAGGAATTGGTTCCCCCACCGAAGAGGTACGATTCCAGCCCTGGCCTCACAGCTTTGGCACAGAGCAACCCAAACATCAGGGACTACCCCCAAGGACCTGGGCAAGGAATGAAGTGCTGGGTTTCCCGGGGGAAATGAAGCATCCTAACGAAACACAGGCAGGGAGATTCTGGCGGAGTAAGAGAGGAGGGGACCCAGGAGGCACAATATGGGGAAGGCAGTGTAAGGCGGCCGTTCGGGCCAGAAACAACGATGCAGCGGGTGGGTCTCGGACAAGAGCTGCGAAGCTTCCAAAAGTGGCGAGCGGCGTGCGAGGATCTTGGGGCCGAGGCGGGCCCCACTCTCACCATTTGCGTGGGCAGTGAGCTCAGATGCTCCAGCATGACTAGTTGAGGAGGTAAACAGCGGCGTGCTGGAGGCGAGCAGCGAGGCGAGTTTGGTCGCGACTCAGAGACTGTAGCGAATAGGGTCCGGTCGCGGATACAGCTAGATCGGCCTGCGGAGGTAGGGAGTGCGATGGCCGCAGCCCCGGAAGCGGATGTCTCGGACAGACCCAGACGGCCCGAGGCCCCGCCCCGCGCAACTGCTAAGCACCTTGTGCTTTCCGAGCCGGCTGGAGCCGGGTGCATTGCTCTCGAGGGCTGAGGTTGTGATGATGGCGACCGAGCGGAGCCATCACGCGCCCGTGACGGGTTCGCCGTCGGAGCTGATGGGTGCTGGGAACCGCAGCCCTGGCCCCACAAACTGTCCGGGACTGCGCCTCCGCGGCATAACGGCTGCCGGCGCGCGCGCCGTTTCTATGGTGACGGGCTTTTCTCTGCGAGGACCCCAGCAATGGGGCTGCCCGGCGGCGCCTGTTTGGTATGACGTTCTCGCAGAAGGCTCGGTGGGCGAGCTGGGGCTTGTGGGGCTGCGTGGTGGCTAGGAAACTAGTGGATGGGCGGGACCAGTCTGGAGTGCGGGTACCAGGGGCGAACAGGCGGCGGATTGGGTTCCGGGGCCTGCGCCGCGGGCGCTGAGCTGGCGGGGCGGGCCGGGACGCGGGCAGCAGCTCCTCCTCCTCCGCCTCCAGGTAAGAGCGGACGCCGGGAGCGTCTGAGGGTAACGGCTTGCTGGAACCCTAACCCGGAGTCTGTATGGGCCTGAATCCCCTGAGCGTCACACCCTTATCAGTCCTAAGTGTCAGGGGGACCCATTGACCCTTGGAATTTAAAGGGAACTGTCCTAGTTCATATCCTCAAGAGAAAGGGAATCCCCGCACAGGGGTGGGGTGGGGGTGGGGGGTTCTCATGTTTCTGAGAGAAACCGTTCTGGAGAACCCAAGCCTATGGATCCCAGCTGGCTCCTTGGCCTCTATGCTATGTTGCACATAATGGTTACAGATAGATTCTTTTTTTATTTTTTATTTTTTATGGTGTTATTGGTTAATAAAATCCAATAAGTTTAAGCTCAACACTTTAACAGTAAGGCCCATATATATGTATGTATATTTATATTTACACTGTGTGTTCACCTCCCATGTCACCACGTTTGACTCCCTTTATCCTGTCTACCTCCCTCCCCCCCACCACCTCCTACCCTCTGGTAACCACTAATCTATAGTCCATGTCCATGAGTCTCTGTCCTGTTCATTTGTTGCTTTTAGGTTTAGATCCCACATATAAGTGATATGTGGTATTCAACTTTTTCTGTCTGGCTTATTTCGCTTAGCATGATTATCTTGAGGACTATCCATGTTGTCACAAATGGCAGTATTTCATCTCTTCTTATGGCTGAGTAATATTCCATTGTACCACAGCTTCTTTATCCAACTGAAGTGTAGAACACTTTGGTTACTTACGTGTCCTGGCCACCGTGAATAATGCTGCTATGAACATCGGTGTGCAAATGTCTTTATGGATATGGGTTTTCAAGTCTTTGGGATAAATACCGAGTAGAGGGATTGCTGGATCATATGGTAGATCAATTCTTAGTTTTTTGAGGAATCTTCATACTGTTTTCCATAGTGGCTGTACCAATTTGCAGTTCCACCTGTAGCGTATGAGGGTTTATTTTTTAACAGAGGGATTCTAAGCACTCCCAAGGCAGATTGGTGTGTGGCTGCCACCCTCATTCATGCAGTCAGCAAACATTCACAACATCGTGTGTGTGTGTG